GTGTGTGTGGTGTGTGTGGTCTATGTGTGTGTGGTGTGTGTCTATGTGTGTATGTGGTCTATGTGTGTGTGTGGTGTATGTGTCTATTTGTGTGTGTGGTGTGTATGTGTCTGTGTGTACGTGTCTATGTATGTGTGTGGTACGTGTATGTGTCTATTTGTGTGTGTGTGTGGTGTGTGTGGTGTGTGTGGTGTGTCTATTTGTGTGTGTGGTGTGTGTGTGGTGTGCGTGTGTGGTGTGCGTGTGTGGTGTATCTGTCTATGTGTGTATGTGTCTATGTGTGTGTGTGGTGTGTGTGTGTGGTGTGTGTATGTGTCTATGTATGTGTCTATGTGTGTATGTGTCTATGTGTTTGTGTGGTGTGTGTATGTGTCTATTTGTGTGTGTGTGGTGTGTTTGTGGTGTATGTCTCTATGTGTGTGTGTGTCTATGTGTGTATGTGTCTATGTGTGTGTGTCTATGTGTCTATGTGTCTATGTGTGTATGTGTCTATGTGTGTATGTATCTATGTGTGTGGTGTGTGTATGTGTGTATGTGCCTATGTGTGTGTGTCTATGTGTCTATGTATCTATGTGTGTGTGTGTCTATGTGTGTATGTGTCTATGTGTGTATGTGTCTATGTGTGTATGTGTCTATGTGTGTGTGTGTGTCTATGTGTCTATGTGTGTATGTATCTATGTGTGTATGTGTCTATGTGTGTATGTGTCTATGTGTGTGTGTGTCTATGTATCTATTTGTGTGTGTATCTATGTGTGTATGTGTCTGTGTGTGTGTCTATGTGTGTGTGTGTCTATTTGTGTGTGTGTGGTGTCACCCGCCCCCTCGTGTGCCGTGTCGGCCTTCATCAGTGCTCCTCACTTGCCCCGACTGTCTGCGAAGGCTATCGGAGGGACGTGTCCGTCTTTCCGTCTTCGGCGGGGGAGCGGAGGTGCAGTGGTTAGCAGCGCTGGGCCGTGCTTACGAACACGCCGGAGAGACCCGAGTTACATTCCGCGCTCACGACCGATATCAGCGACGACAGAAAATCTAAACTGGTCCGCGGGGGGGGGAGGGGGGAGGCGTCCCTCGCCTAAGTCGACTCAGCCTTGTCAGGTGCGCTCGCTCCCCGTTGTGGTGAGTATAAAACATCGGGACTGGGGAGCCCAAAGGCGCACACACACGGATCCACTGATCCACGCAGAGACCCCGCAGACTCACGCAGAGACCCAGAGACTCACACAGAGACCCATAGACTCAGCACACAGAGACCCATAGACTCACCACACAGAGACCCATAGACTCACCACACAGAGACCCATAGACTCACCACGCAGAGACCCATAGACTCACCACACAGAGACCCATAGACTCACACAGAGACACATAGACTCACACAGAGACACATAGACTCACACAGAGACCGATAAACTCACACAGAGACCCACAGACTCATACAGAGACCCATAAACTCACACAGAGACCCATAGACTCACGCAGAGACCCATAGACTCACACAGAGACCCATAGACTCACACAGAGACCCATAGACTCACTCAGAGACCCGCAGACTCACACAGAGACCCGCAGACTCACACAGAGACCCATAGACTCACACAGAGACCCATAGACTCACACAGAGACCCGTAGACTCACACAGAGTCCCGTAGACTCACACAGAGACCCATAGACTCACATAGAGACCCACAGACTCACGGAGAGTCCCACAGACTCACGGAGAGACCCACAGACTCATACAGAGACCCATAAACTCACACAGAGACCCATAGACTCACGCAGAGACCCATAGACTCACACAGAGACCCATAGACTCACACAGAGACCCATAGACTCACTCAGAGACCCGCAGACTCACACAGAGACCCGCAGACTCACACAGAGACCCATAGACTCACACAGAGACCCATAGACTCACACAGAGACCCGTAGACTCACACAGAGTCCCGTAGACTCACACAGAGACCCATAGACTCACATAGAGACCCACAGACTCACGGAGAGTCCCACAGACTCACGGAGAGACCCACAGACTCACACAGAGACCCGTAGACTCACACAGAGACCCATAGACTCACATAGAGACCCACAGACTCACGGAGAGACCCACAGCCTCACACAGCGAACCACACACAGCCAACAACAACAAACACCGCCATTCGCCACTAAATGACGTCACTGCGGTGCCTGTGCCAGGCCAGGTGCACTTTGAGGCCACCACGTGAAGTCTCAAAGGCTTGATGCTGGCAGGAGGTCACAGGACAGACCCTGCGGGTGCCACGGGTCGTTCCTGTGAGCGTCGCTCCTCCGCCCTCCGTCGATGTCCCGAGGGCTATCACATTAAGCCCCCCCCCCTCAGCACCCCCCCAACCTCCCCCCCACTTTTGGACCCCGTGCCTTGAGCCTTCGGCAGCGAGAGATGACATCCCCCGACGCAGCTTGGAGAGCTGAATGGAGTTCGCAAGCAAACGCCACCTTGTGAAGGCCTAACGTACAAGATCGCTCGGTTTGATCGCTGTGATGGCCATAGACTCAACACTGCACCACAGACTCAGCACTGCACCATAGACTCAACACTGCACCATAGACTCAACACTGTATCATAGACTCAACACTGCCCATAGACTCAACACTGCACCATAGACTCAACACTGCACCATAGACTCAACACTGCACCATAGACTCAATACTGCACCATAGACTCAAAACTGCACCATAGACTCAGCACTGCACCATAGACTCAATAATGCCCATAGACTCAACACTGCCCATAGACTCAACACTGCCCATAGACTCAACACTGCACCATAAACTCAATACTGCACCATAGACTCAACACTGCCCATAGACTCAACACTGCACCAGACTCAACACTGCACCATAGACTTAGCACTGCACCACATCCCCCCAGTCAGTACCTCTGGTTGGCTATGTATGGTGGTGCGAAATAATTTCAACAGGTGTACATAGACTCACACAGAGACACATAGACTCATCACACAGAGACACAGACTCATCACAGACACACACAGACTCATCACACAAAGACCCATAGACTCATCAAACAGAGACCCATAGACTCATCACACAGACACACACAGACTCATCACACAAAGACCCATAGACTCATCACACAGAGACACAGACTCACCACACAGAGACTCACAGACTCATCACACAGAGACCCATAGACTTGCCACACAGAGACCCATACACTCACCCCACAGACACCCACAGACTCACACAGAGACACAAAGACTCACCGCACAGAGACACAAAGACTCACCCCACAGAGACCCACAGACTCACCCCACACCTACACACACATACACAAACACACAAACATACACATGCATACAACAACAACAACAACCACCATTCGCCACTAAGTGGCGGTGACATCACTACGACGCTTGTGCCAGGCCATGTGCACACACACATACACACACACACACATACACACATACACACACACACACACGCGCGTACAATAAAGCCGGTTCAGATAATCAAAACCGGTATTGGCCGTGAGCGGGAATCAAACTCAGGTCGCGCGGGTCTGTAGCGCTAGCGCCAACCACTACGCTAGCACTCTGCTATCCAATCACCGACACACACTCACACCTACCAATCCTCCCAAATAGTCACCCTGTTACCCAGCAGCCACCCACCCAACCACCCAGTCAACCACCCAACCACCCACCCAGCCAACCACCCAACCACCCAGCCAACCACCCAACTACCCAGCCAGCCAACCACCCAGCCAACCACCCAGTCAACCACCCAACCACCCACCCAGCCAACCACCCAACTACCCACCCACCCAACCACCCAACCACCCAGCCAACCACCCAACCACCCAGCCAACCACCCAACCACCCAGCCAACCACCCAGCCAACCACCCAACCACCCAGCCAACCACCCAGCCAACCACCCAGCCAACCACCCAGCCACCCACCCAGCCACCCACCCAGCCAACCACCCACCCAGCCACCCAACCACCCAACCACCCAGCCAACCACACAACCACCCAGCCAACCACCCAGTCAACCACCCAACCACCCACCCAGCCACCCACCCACCCAGCCACCCAACCACCCAACCACCCACCCAGCCACCCAACCACCCAACCACCCAGCCAACCACACAACCACCCAGCCACCCAACCACTCGGCCAACCACCCACCCACCCACACGACCACCCGACCACCCGACCACCCACCCAGCCACCCACCCACCCAGCCAACCACCCAGCCAACCACACAACCACCCCCACCAACCACCCACCCACCCAGCCAACCACACAACCACCCAGCCACCCAACCACTCGGCCAACCACCCACGCACCCACCCACACGACCACCCGACCACCCACCCAGCCACCCCACGACATCGACCACCCCCACGGAGTGCAGCGACCCGCCACGCCTCGTGCCCCCGTGGGTCCTCCCCCCGGCCTGCAGTCTGCACCACGGCGTTCCGTGCGGTTGGCGCTCGCCCACAATGCACACGGGAGGGGGTCGCGAGCGGAGTGGCATCGCAGTGTGGTGGGTGGGGTGTGGTGTGGTGTGGGTGGGTGTGGTGTGGTGGGTGTAGTGGGTTTGGTGTGGTGTGGTGTGGTGGGGTGTGGTGTGGTGGGTGTGGTGGGTTGGTGGGGTGTGGTGGGTGTGGTGTGGTAGGTGTGGTAGGTGTGGTGGGTTGGTGGTGGGTGTGGTGTGGTGTGGTGGGTGTAGTGTGGTGGGTGTGGTGGGTAGGGGTGGTGGGTAGGTGTGGTGGGTGTGGTGGGTAGGTGTGGTGTGTGTGGTGTGTGGTGGGTGTGGCGGGTAGGGGTGGTGAGTGTGGTGGCTGTGGTGTGTGGTGGGTGTGGTGGGTGTGGTGGGTGAGGGTGGTGGATGTGGTGGGTTGTGGTGGGTAGGTGTGGTGGGTAGGGGTGTGGTGGGTGGCTGTGGTGGCTGTGGTGTGTGTCGGGTGTGGTGGGTGTGGTGGGTAGGGGTGGTGGCTGTGGTGTGTGGTGGCTGTGGTGTGTGGTGAGTGTGGTGTGTGGGGGTTGTGTCACTGACCGATCATGTGGTTGGCCACGTGAACCTGGATCTCGCGCTCGCTCTCAAAGGTCACCTGGCACTTGATGCACTGGTAGCTCTTCTTCTGGGCAGACAGCGTGGGGGGCACACGCAGCAGCGGCGTCAGAGGGGGGCCCGGCGCCTTGCAACGTCACCGCTCGCCATCCTCACCACGGTCACACTCACCACGCTACCACTCACCACGCTCACACTCACCATGCTCACCACTCACCACGGTCACACTCACCATGCTCACCACGGTCACACTCACCAGGCTCACACTCACCATGCTCACACTCACCATCCTCACCATGCTCACCATCCTCACCACTCACCATGCTCACCACTCACCATGCTCACCACTCACCATCCTCACCACTCACCATCCTCACCATGCTCACCATCCTCACCATCCTCACCACTCACCATCCTCACCACTCACCATGCTCACCACTCACCATGCTCACCACTCACCATCCTCACCACTCACCATCCTCACCACTCACCATGCTCACCACGGTCACACTCACCATCCTCACCACTCACCATGCTCACACACACAACACGTCATCCACACACACGTCATCCACACACACACACACGTCATCCACACACACACACGTCATCCACACACACACGTCATCCACACACACATACGCACACACACCGACGTCATCCACACACACGCGCACACACACCCACGTCATCCACACACAACACGTCATCCACGCACACACGTCATCCACACACACGTCATGCACACACAACACGTCATCTACACACACACACACGCACACGCGCACACGTCATCCACACACACAACACGTCATCCACACACACACGTCATCCACACACAACACGTCATCTACACACACACGCACACGCGCACACGTCATCCACACACACAACACGTCATCCACACACACAACACGTCATCCACACACACAACACGTCATCCACACACACAACACGTCATCCACACACACGTCATCCACACACACAACACGTCATCCACACACACACGTCATCCACACACAACACGTCATCTACACACACACGCACACGCGCACACGTCATCCACACACACAACACGTCATCCACACACACAACACGTCATCCACACACACAACACGTCATCCACACACACAACACGTCATCCACACACACGTCATCCACACACACAACACGTCATCCACACACACGCACACGTCATCCACACACACGTCATCCACACACACGTCATCCACACACACGTCATCCACACACACACAAAGCGGCTCTTCCACAACCGAACCCACGACACCTCACTGCGACAGGCCGTGCCGTCGCACGGCGCTTCCAAGATGCGCTTCTGCGGCCGTCTGGAACGCTCTTCCCCCATCCTTCCGAGATCAGGGAGGCCACTGGGAGCTCATGGTGTACACTCTTACAATCGTCATCGTCGAGATTGACAAACTAATTTCTCGAGAACCGCTTCTTGTTGTTGTTGTGTTCAGTTTGTTGTCCTTCCCCCGCACCTCCGATGAGCGACGGACGGCTACGTACGGTGCGAAAGAAGTTCCACGTACTGTACATAAAGTCACACAGAGACCCACGGACTCACACAGAGACCCACAGACTCACATAGAGACCCATAGATTCATACACACACCCATAGACTCACATAGAGACCCATAGACTCACACAGAGACCCATAGACTCATACAAACACCCATAGACTCATACAAACACCCATAGACTCACACAGAAACCCATAGACTCACACACAGGCCCATAGACTCATACACACACCCATAGACACACACAGAGACCCATAGACTCACACAGAGACCCATAGACTCACACAGAGACCCATAGACTCACACAGAGACCCATAGACTCACACACAGACCCATAGACTCACACACAGACCCATAGACTCACACACAGACCCATAGACTCACACAGAGACCCATAGACTCACACAGAGACCCATAGACTCACGCAGAGACCCATAGACTCACACACAGACCCATAGACTAACACAGAAACCCATAGACTCACACACAGACCCATAGACTCACACAGAGACCCATAGACTCATACAGAGACCCATAGACTCACAAAGAGACCCATAGACTCACACAGAGACCCATAGACTCACCACGCAGAGACCCATAAACCACCACCTTCTACACCACCACCACCAGCACCACTACACCACCACCACCTGCACCACCACCATCACCACCACCAGCACCACCACCTGCACCACCACCAGCACCACCACCACCAGCACCAACACCACCACCACCAGCACCAGCACCACCAGCACCAGCACCACCAGCACCACCACCATCAGCACCACCACCAGCACCACCACCAGCACCAGCACCACCACCAGCACCACCACCAGCACCACCTACACCACCACCAGCACCACCACCTACACCACCTACACCACCACCTACTCCACCACCTACACCACCACCAGCACCACCACCTGCACCACCACCACCAGCACCACCACCTGCACCACCTACACCACCTGCACCACCTACACCACCACCTACACCACCACCAGCACCACCACCAGCACCACCAGCACCACCAGCACCACCACCACCTGCACCACCACCACCTGCACCACCACCACCTGCACCACCTACACCACCACCACCACCTGCACCGCCGCCCGCCTGCACAAAGCCATGAATAACACAGGAGCGGCGAGGATAAATATTTGACGGGCGTCGAACCTCATCAATAAAAGAGGCTGCTTAGGAATCGGCGCCAAACAAATCCCTCCCCCAGCTCAGTCACTACCCCAGCAGCCACTCGCTCGCTAGCCAGTGAGGGGTCAGTCACCTCGCTGTCTCTCTGCTATGGCTACTACTACGACTGTCTTGTTGACTGTGAATATGGTTCAGTCACTACACCAGCAGCCACTCGCTCGCTAGCCAGTGAGGGGTCAGTCACCTCGCTGTCTCTCTGCTATGGCTACTACTACGACTGCCTTGGTGACTGTGAACATCGCTCAGTCACTACACCAGCAGCCACTCGCTCGCTAGCCAGTGAGGGGTCAGTCACCTCCCTGTCTCTCTGCTATGGCTACTACTACGACTGTCTTGGTGACTGTGAACATGGTTCAGTCACTACACCAGCAGCCACTCGCTCGCTAGCCAGTGAGGGGTCAGTCACCTCGCTGTCTCTCTGCTATGGCTACTACTACGACTGCCTTGGTGACTGTGAATATGGTTCAGTCACTACACCAGCAGCTACTCGCTCGCTAGCCAGTGAGGGGTCAGTCACCTCCCTGTATCTCTGCTATGGCTACAGTACTTCCACCGAGGTAACTGCTCCCGTGGACATCGCTTACCGATTTGCCGCACAAAGCTCACACTTGACGGGGCTTGCGTCTACACATCTCCGGTATCTGTGAGCTCCTCGCTCTGCGATCCAGCCCCGTGGTTAAACCAAGGATGGATGGTGGGCAGGGCCAACCATCATTTATTTTCTTTTTTTAAACGGAGGTTTCCCTTTAGAGGGGAGGGGGGGGGGGTTCCACATTTCGCGGGCGTAGAGAAGGGAGGGCATGACTGTGGCCGAGAAGACCTGAAGCTTAGTGCGGAGCGACAGACCAGGTAGCTTCCACACAGCGTTACGCAGCCGATGGAAAGATATTGCCGCTCGGCCGATTCGGAGTGGGACCTCTGCTGCCAAACTGGAGCTGGTCATGAGCACACTGCCCAGGTATGGGAAACTCTCCACTCTCTCTGCAACTGCCCTACCACCAATTGATGGCTGAGGGGGTGGAGTGTCCGATGGCACAAAATACCCAGGCAGGTGCTCAGTTTTGGTGCGGCTGATGGTAAGACATCCACCTCTTGGTGGCCAGCTCCAGTTTCAGCAGCAAAGCCTCCAACTCCTCCTCTGAGTGAGCAGCAATCACCAGATCATCCGCATACGTAATAAAGTTGAGCAATAGGAAGCCATCCCTCGACAGCATTTGGGCATCAATCACAGCCTCCCAATGTATCTGTTACCAGATGGAAACTCCTCTGGTGCAGCCATGGAAGGCGTCTTGAACTAAGTGGTCAAACAAAATGTTAAATAGGATGTAAAATATCCCCCGCATAGCCTTAACAGACTTTTGGCACAAGTGCCGCTAGAGAGCACCTATGAAGGCTGGAACGGCACACGAGGGGGTGCGTGGCAAGCACCACCCCCGCCCGCCTTTGTCTCCCTCGTGGCGATGGGTACACGCACCTAAGGGAGGCCCAGGACCGGTTCAGATTATCGCCCGTGAGCGGGAATCGAACTCGGGTCCGCCGGGTTCGTAGCGCCATCGTGGCGTTAACCGCTACATCACCCCCCCCCCCCCCCCCCCACCCACCTCCACACACACACACACAGAGAGACCCCTCTCTCTCCGTGCGTCTCTCGCACGGACACACCGGTTTATTCCCACTTAGGGGCCGGGGGGGGAAGGTGAGATGGGGGGGTGGGGTGGGGGTGGTCCCCTTGCATGCAAATCAGGTCGGCGGCCGCCTCTCCTAACGCGGGGGGCACTGTGATCATAAATAAGTCAGCCTATAAATAAATTAGCCAAACGAATAACAAATGAATAAGGTATGAAGCCTGTGGGCAGTGTCTGTATGGAGGCCTCCCCCCCCACACCCACCTAGCAGTCCCCCCCCCCCCCCCACCGCTCCCACCACCACCACCACCACCACACCCACCAACGCATTTGCATGCGGCTCGCAGACGTATGTACACCGGGGCCCCAACGCCGAGAATTCCACGTTCCCGTGGCAGAGGGGGGGGGAGGACCGACCGACCGACCGATCAAGCGTGGAAACCTCCCCACAACCCCCCCCCCCCGCCCCCCCCCCCAAAAAAATAATATAATGATCCAACTTTAAACTATTGTTCGTTTTAACTGAGCAGGTAAGGCCCAGTGAGCAGTGCCTGGTATGGACTGCTGCCACTGGAGAAACCTTCGGCTAATGCAGCCAGCCGCCTGCGGTTTGATTTTAATTTGTTCGTCATTAGGACACTTTCTGTGTGTAGAGTGAGGCGACTGCCCAGAGACTCAGCACTGCACCATAGACTCAGCACTGCACCATAGACTCAACACTGCACCATAGACTCAGCACTGCACCATAGACTCAACACTGCACCATAGACTCAACACTGCACCATAGACTCAGCACTGCACCATAGACTCAACACTGCACCATAGACTCAGCACTGCACCATAGACTCAACACTGCACCATAGACTCAGCACTGCCCCATAGACTCAACACTGCACCATAGACTCAACACTGCACCATAGACTCAGCACTGCACCATAGACTCAACACTGCACCATAGACTCAGCACTGCACCATAGACTCAACACTGCACCATAGACTCAGCACTGCCCCATAGACTCAACACTGCACCATAGACTCAGCACTGCCCCATAGACTCAACACTGCACCATAGCCTCAGCACTGCCCCATAGACTCAACACTGCACCATAGACTCAACACTGCACCATAGACTCAGCACTGCACCATAGACTCAACACTGCACCATAGACTCAGCACTGCACCATAGACTCAACACTGCACCATAGACTCAACACTGCACCATAGACTCAGCACTGCACCATAGACTCAGCACTGCACCATAGACTCAACACTGCACCATAGACTCAGCACTGCACCATAGACTCAATAATGCCCATAGACTCAACACTGCACCATAGACTCAACACTGCACCATAGACTCAGCACTGCACCATAGACTCAACACTGCACCATAGACTCAGCACTGCACCATAGACTCAACACTGCACCATAGACTCAGCACTGCCCCATAGACTCAACACTGCACCATAGACTCAACACTGCACCATAGACTCAGCACTGCACCATAGACTCAACACTGCACCATAGACTCAGCACTGCACCATAGACTCAACACTGCACCATAGACTCAACACTGCACAATAGACTCAGCACTGCACCATAGACTCAGCACTGCACCGTAGACTCAACACTGCCCATAGACTCAACACTGAACCATAGACTCAGCACTGCACCATAGACTCAGCACTGCACCATAGACTCAACACTGCACCATAGACTTAACACTGCACCATAGACTCAACACTGCACCATAGACTCAACACTGCACCATAGACTCGACACTGCACCATAGATTCGACACTGCACCATAGACTCAACACTGCACCATAGACTCAACACTGCACCATAGACTCAACACTGCACCATAGACTCAGCACTGCACCATAGACTCAACACTGCACCATAGACTCAACACTGCACCATAGACTCAACACTGCACCATAGACTCAACACTGCACCATAGACTCAACACTGCATCATAGACTCAGCACTGCACCATAGACTCGACACTGCACCATAGACTCAACACTGCACCATAGACTCAACACTGCACCATAGACTCAGCACTGCACCATAGACTCAACACTGCACCATAGACTCAGCACTGCACCATAGACTCAGCACAGCACCATAGACTCAACACTGCACCATAGACTCAGCACTGCACCATAGACTCAACACTGCACCATAGACTCAACACTGCAACATAAATTCAACACTGCACCATAGACTCAATACTGCACCATATACTCAATACTGCACCATAGACTCAACACTGCACCATAGACTCAACACTGCACCATAGACTCAACACAGCACCATAGACTCAGCACTGCACCATAGACTCAACACTGCACCATAGACTCAACACTGTACCATAGACTCAGCACTGCACCATAGCCTCAACACTGCACCATAGACTCAGCACTGCCCATAGACTCAACACTGCACCATAGACTCAACACTGCACCATAGACTCGACACTGCACCATAGACTCGACACTGCCCATAGACTCAACACTGCCCATAGACTCAACACTGCACCATAGACTCAACACTGCACCATAGACTCAACACTGCACCATAGACTCAGCACTGCACCATAGACTCAGCACTGCACCATAGACTCAGCACTGCACCATAGACTCAACACTGCACCATAGACTCAACACTGCCAATAGACTCAGCACTGCACCATAGACTCAACACTGCCCATAGACTCAGCACTGCACCATAGACTCAGCACTGCACCATAGACTCAACACTGCAAATAGACTCAGCACTGCACCATAGACTCGACACTGCACCATAGACTCAACACTGCCCATAGACTCAATACTGTACCATAAACTCAACACTGCAACATAGACTCAGCACTGCACCATAGACTCAGCACTGCACCATAGACTCAGCACTGCACCATAGACTCAGCACTGCACCATAGACTCAGCACTGCACCATAGACTCGACACTGCACCATAGACTCAACACTGCCCATAGACTCAACACTGCCCATAGACTCAACACTGCACTATAGACTCAACACTGCACCATAGACTCAACACTGCACCATAGACTCAACACTGCACCATGGACTCAGCACTGCACCATAGACTCGACACTGCACCATAGACTCAACACTGCCCATAGACTCAATACTGCCCATAGACTCAACACTGCACCATAGACTCAGCACTGCACCATAGACTCAACACTGCACCATAGACTCAACACTGCACCATAGACTCAACACTGCCCATAGACTCAACACTGCCCAAAGACTCAACACTGCACCATAGACTCAACACTGCACCATAGACACAACACTGCACCATAGACTCAACACTGCAACATAGACTCAGCACTGCACCATAGACTCAACACTGCACCATAGACTCGACACTGCACCATAGACTCGACACTGCACCATAGACTCGACACTGCACCATAGACTCGACACTGCACCATAGACTCGACACTGCACCATAGACTCAACACTGCCCATAGACTCAACACTGCCCATAGACTCAACACTGCCCATAGACTCAACACTGCACCATAGACTCAGCACTGCACCATAGACTCAACACTGCACCATAGACTCAACACTGCATCATAGACTCGACACTGCACCATAGACTCAACACTGCCCATAGACTCAACACTGCCCATAGACTCAACACTGCCCATAGACTCAACACTGCACCATAGACTCGACACTGCACCATAGACTCGACACTGCACCATAGACTCGACACTGCACCATAGACTCAACACTGCACCATAGACTCAAAACTCACCCAGCCTCTCACCCACTCACTCATGCGCCCACTCACCTATCCACGCACTCAACCACCTGCTCACTCACCCACGTACCCACCAAATCAGCCACCCACTCACTCAACCGCACGCTCACTCACCCACATACTCACTTACTCACTCCACCGCTCATTTGTTCACACACTGACCCACTCACTCCCTCACCCCCCAGAATGGCGAGCGGACAGAGGGAGTATGAGGAAGATGTGTAAGATGGGCAGTGCAGGGTAGGCCGAGTGAGTGAGCGAATGAGTGACAGTGAGTGAGCGAGTGACAGTGAGTGAGCCGGTGAGTGAGCGAATGAGTGACAGTGAGTGAGCGAATGAGTGACAGTGAGTGAGCGAGTGAGTCCGCGTGTTAGCGATTGAACGAGCGAGGGAGTGAGCGAGTAACAGTGAGTGACAGTGAGCGAGTGAGCGAGTGAGTAACAGTGAGTAACAGTGAGGGAGCGATTGAGTGACAGTGAGTAACAGTGAGTGAGTGAGTGACAGTGAGTGACAGTGAGTGAGTGAGCGAGTGAGTGACAGTAAGTGAGCGAGGCAACGAGTGACAGTGAGTGAGTGAGTAAGCGAGCGTGTGAGCGGGTGAGTGAGTGAGTGAGCGAGTGAGTGACCGTGAGTAACAGTGAGGTAGTGAGCGAGTGAGTGACAGTGAGTGACAGTGAGTGACAGTGAGTGAGTGAGCGAGTGAGTGACAGTGAGTGAGTGAGCGACAGTGAGTGAGCGAGTGAGTGACAGTAAGCGAGCGTGCGAGCGGGTGAGTGAGTGAGTGACAGTGAGTGAGCGAGTGAGTCCGCGTGTTAGCGATTGAGCGAGCGAGGGAGTGAGCGAGTAAGTGAGTGAGTGAGCGAGTGACAGTGAGTGAGTGAGTGACAGTGAGTGAGCTAGTGAGCGATGGACAGTGAGTGAGTGAGTAACAGTGAGTGAGCCAGTGAGGGAGTGAGTGACAGTGAGTAACAGTGAGTGAGTGAGTGAGCGAGTGAGTGACAGTGAGTGACAGTGAGTGAGTGAGCGAGTGAGTGACAGTGAGTGACAGTGAGTGAGTGAGCGAGTGAGTGACAGTGAGTGAGTGACAGTGAGCGAGCGAGCGAGTGACAGTGAGTGACAGTGAGTGAGTGACAGTGAGTGAGTGAGTGACAGTGAGTGAGCGAGCGTGTGAGTGAGTGAGCGAGCGAGGAGGTGAGAGCGTGTGAGCGAGCGTATGAGCGAGCGAGGGAGCGAGTGACAGTGAGTGAGCGAGCGTGTGAGCGAGTAGGTGAGAGTGCGTGAGTGAGTGAGCGAGTGAGTAGTTGAGAGCGTGTGAGCGAGTGACAGTGAGTGAGCGAGCGTGTGAGCGAGTAGGTGAGAGTGCGTGAGTGAGTGATGTGAGTGAGTGAGCGAGGGAGCGATCCAGCGTTGTTACCGACGCCAGCACAGCTGTCCCTACCCGCGGCAGGCTGCTGCCGCTGCCGCCGCTCTGCTGCAAGTGCTTGGGGGAGGACTTTTTCTGGCAGCCGCCGGCGCTGTCCTGCTGCTGCTGCTGCTGCGTCGTCGTCGCCGCAGCCAGCGCCAGGTCGCGGTGGTCGGCCTGCAGGTGGACCTCGAGCTCCTCCAGCGTCTCGAACTTGACCCCGCACAGGAGGCAGCGCGGCTTGAGCGCCGGCGAGCCGCCGCCGCCGCCGTCCGGCAAGCCGCCCGGCTCGTCGGGCGATCCGCCGCCGCCGCCGCCGCCGCCGCCGCCTCCCGGCGACTCTCCCCGGCCGCCGCCGGCGCCGCCGCCGCCGCCGCCGCCGCCGGCCTTGCTGAGCACGCAGCCGGCGCACAGCGCGTAGGGCAGACCGCCGATGTCGAGGCGCACCAGCTCCTGGCGCGAGCGGAACTCCTTGAGGCAGGAGGCGCACTTGTGGTGCCGCTGCTGCTGCTGCTGCTGCTGCTGCTGCGACAATGCGGACGAGGAGGAGGGCGACGCCAGCGAGCAGCCGCGGCCGCCGCCTCCGCCGAGCCCCGGCGGCGGCGGCGGCAGCAGCAGCAGCATCCCCCCGCCGTTGCCGCCGCCGTTGCCGCCGCCGTTGCCGTCCGGCCCCGGCGAGCCGGCGGCGCCGTCGTCGTCCTGCGCGGAGGACGAGACGCCGCCGCCGGCCGCCGCGGCCGCCGCGGCCGCGGCCGCCGCCGCCGCCGCCGCCGACGACGAGGAGGAGGAGGCCTTCTGCATGTGGAAGGTGCCGTGGATCTTGAGCTCGAGCGTCGACGTCACCGTCTGCATGCAGACGACGCAGCGGAAGCCCGTCAGGGAGTTGCGCAGGTCCGGGTGCAGCTGGCAGTGCTCCAGGAAGTCCTCCTCGCTGTGCAGGGGCAGGCGGCACACGCGGCAGCTGCCCGTCGCCAGGCTCCGGCTGTGCGTCACCTTGTGCTCGGTGAGCGTGAGCAGCGACGGGAAGCGCTCGCCGCAGATGGGGCACATGTAGTGCTTGGCGGGGCCGCCGCGGTGGGTCTGCGCGTGCTCGCGGAGCCCCCCCTCCGAGAAGAAGGTGCGGGCGCAGACCCCGCACTTGTGGCTGCCCTTCATGAGCAGCAGCTCCTGGCCCTTGGCGCCGGCGCCCGCGTCGCCCGGCTGGATGTTGTGGTCCCGCCGCCGGTGGTTGGCGAGCAGAGACTCCATGGTGTAGGCGGCCCCGCAGATGTCGCACGCGTACATGGGCTCCGAGCCGTCGACGCCGCCCACGCCGCCGCCGCCGCCGCCGCCGCCGCCGTCTTCCTCGGCCGCCGCCGGCGTCGGCGTCGCCGCCGAGGGAGCCGTCGGAGCCGACGAGGTGCAGGCTGAGCCGCCGCCGCCGCCGCCGCCGCCGTTCCCGTCGTGGCTGTTCGTCATCTCCTGGCCGCCGCCGCCGCTGAGAATTCTGGGCAGCTCCGACGCCGCCGCCGTCGATGCATCTTCTTGCTTGGCCGCGTGCAGCTGCTGCTGCTGCTGCTGGTGATGATGCTGCTGCTGCTGCTGCTGCTGCTGCTGGTGGTGGTGGTGGTGAGCGGCGCCGGCGGACGACGACGCCGACGACGACGCCGGACCGTTGGAGGGGCTCGCCTGCTGCTGCTGCTGCTGGCCGCCGCCGCCGTCGGCCGCCTCGAAGACGCAGTGCCTCTCCCGCAGGTGGCGCTCGAGCGCGGCCGCGCCCTGGAACGCCTGGCCGCAGAAGCGGCAGCCGTGCCGGCGGCCGTGCGTCGTCACGTGGCACTGGAGCTCCACCTCGGTGGCGAACGCCTCGCCGCAGAAGATGCACTTGTGCGGCCTCCCCGGCTGCCCCAGGTGGCTCTGCTGGACGTGCGCCCGCAGCTCCGCCTCGCGCCGGAAGTCCCAGCCGCAGGCGGTGCAACGGAGCACCTTGCGCTCCTCGGCGTGCCTCACCGCCATGTGGATCTGCAGCGAGACGCGCGACTCGAACGCCTCGCGGCAGAGGGCGCAGCGGTAGAAGACGGCCGTGTGCGCGTCCAGCAGGTGCCGCTGCAGCTCGTCGACGCACGCGAAGCGCCGGTCGCAGCTCTCGCACGCGAACTGCGCCGCCACGGCGGCGAAGTGCGTGGCCACGTGGCGCAGCAGCGAGTCGCGCGTCGCAAACTCCTCGCGGCACTGCGGGCAGCTCTGCTTGCGCAGGAGCAGCGCGTCGAGGTGGTGGGCGCGCTGGTGCGCCTGGAACAGCTCGGCGGTGGGCAGCCGCAGCTCGCACTGGCCGCACGGGAACTCGTCCGAGGCGGCGGAGGCGGCGGAGGCGGCGGAGGCGGCGGCGGCCGCGGCCTGCGATCGGCGCAAGCGCTTGGGCGACGGGAGCTCCGACTCCACGGACATGGGGCTCAGGTCCCGGCTGCTCTTGCGGCCGTTGTTGTTGTTGTTGTTGTTGTGACTCCCGCCGGAGCCGCCGCCGTTGCTGCCGCCGTTGCCGGAGCCGAGCGAGTTGTGGGAGTGCGCCAGCGGGATGTTCTTGTGGTTCTCCTTGATGTGCTTGGTGAGCTTGAGGAGGCTGCTGAAGATGGGCGAGTTGGTGCAGTAGGGGCACGAGTAGACCTCCACGATCGGCTCGGGCGGCGGCGCCGACGACGCCGCCGCCGCCGCCGCGCGTGGCGAGTCGAAGCCGCCGCCGCCGCCGCCGCCGCCGCCGCCGGCTTCCACCAGCACGCAGTGCGTCTGCCGCATGTGCTCCTTGAGCGAGCCCTCCGTGAGGAATCCCATCATGCACTGCGGGCAGAAGAAGGTGTTGCTGTCCTTGGAGGTGCCGCCTCCTCCTCCTCCGCCGCCGCCGCCGCCGCCGCCGCCGGAGCCGCCGCCGCCGGAGCCGCCGCCGCTGCCGACGCCGCCGGCGATGCCGACGACGCCGCCGACGCCGCCGCCCGCGTAGCAGTGCACCAGGCGGATGTGCTCCTGCAGCGAGTTGATGTCGGGGAACGTGTCCGGGCAGTAGTTGCAGTGGTAGCTCAGGTGGAGGCCGTGCCCCAGCGGTCCGCCGTCCATCTGCTGCTGGTGGCCTCCTCCTCCTCCTCCTCCTCCTCCTCCTCCGGCGGCCGCGCCGGCGGCGGCCGCTGCAGCCGCCGCGGCCGCGGCTGCCGCGGCCGCGGCGACGGCGAGCCGGTGGCGCTCGTCGTGCGACTGGCGCACGTGCTCCGACAGGTTGTAGAGCGAGGGGAAGCCGTCCAGGCAGTACTGGCAGGTGTGCACCTGCTGGGGCTTGTCGGCGTGGATGGTGCGCAGGTGGATCTCCAGCACGGCCAGGCTGCTGAACTCGTGCTTGGGGCAGTAGGGGCAGCTGAAGGACACCTTGCCGGCGCGTGACGACGCCGGAGCCAGCAGGCGCCGGCCGCCGCCGCCGCCGCCGCCGCCGAAGGAGAAGAGTTTCTTGCCGCCCAGAAGCTTGTGCGGCGGAGGCTGCTGCTGCTGCTGCTGCTGCTGCTGGTGGTGGTGGTGGTGCTGCGAGAGCGGCGCCAACGACGACGAGTCGGGGGTGGAGGCGCGGTCGGCCGCCGAGCCGTTCGAGTCGGGCGTGGTGCTGGCGAGCGACGCCGCCTGGGCCCCCCGCGCCCCCCGCGCCGCCGCCGGCGCCAGCGACAGCAGCAGGCCGGGGCTGTCGCTGCGGCTGCAGGCCGAGTCGGCGCGCTGGTGGCTCTCGAGGTGGTTGTAGAGCTCCTCCACGCTGACGAACGTCTCCGGGCACACGGGGCAGCGGCCCGGCCGCTCGCCCCCGTGGCTCGCCTCCAGGTGGCGCATCAGCGCCAGCTCCTCGCAGAACGGCTGCGCGCAGTGCACGCACTGCAGCTGCAGCTGCAGCTGCAGCTGCTGCTCCTGCTGCTGCTGCTGCTGCTGCTGAAGGTGGCGCTGCCGGTGGCGCTGCCGGTGGCGCTGCCGGTGGCGGTCGTCGGGGGGGGACGCGGACGAGGCGGAGGGGCAGCGGTCGCCGTGCGCCGTCGCGACGTGCGCCAGCAGCTCGGCCTCCCGCAGGAAGGCCTCGTCGCAGAGCTCGCACGCGCGCGCCTCGCACGCCCCACCCTCCTCCTCTTCATCCTCCTCCTCGTCGGCGCCGGCCTCCGGCTTGCGCTCGGAGGCGCCGGGCCTCCTGCCGCCCCCCGGCCGCCCGGACGCGGCCGACGACGACGACGAGGAGGAGGAGGACGCCGGCCCCGCGGCGCCGCCGGCGCCACCGGCAGCGCCGGCGGCGGCGGCGGCGGCGGACGAGGAGGAGGCCCCCCCGGAGCCTGCCGCTGACGCCGCCGCCACCGCCGTGGCCGCCGTCGCCGCCGCCGGCGGGCTGCCGGGAGACGGGCAGAGCGGGCCCGAGGAGGCGCCGTCCGGCTTGCCAGACACCGTCTTGTCGTGCACCTGGGCGACGACAAGACGGGCGTTCGCTCGCCCCCCTCGCCGACTCGCCCGCTCGCCCCCCTCGCTCGCCCCCCTCGCTCGCCCGCCCACCCACTTGCCCGCTCGCTCGCCTGCCCACTTGCTAACTCACTCGCTCGCTCGTTCGCTCACCAACTCGCTTGCTCACTCACCCATCGACTCGCTCGCTCGCCCACCACTTGCTAACGTGCTCGCTCGCCCACAACTCACCCACTGGCTAACCAACTCACTGACTCGCTCGCTTACTAAGGACCTGCCCACTCACTCGCTAAGCGGTCTCTGTGTGAGTCTATGGGTCTCTGTGTGAGTCTATGGGTCTCTGTGTGAGTCTATGGGTCTCTGTGTGAGTCTATGGGTCTCTGTGTGAGTCTATGGGTCTCTGTGGGAGTCTATGGGTCTCTGTGTGAGTCTATGGGTCTCTGTGTGAGTCTATGGGTCTCTGTGGGAGTCTATGGGTCTCTGTGTGATTCTTTGGGTCTCTGTGTAGTGAGTCTATGGGTCTCTGCTGTGAGAGTCTATGGGTCTCTGTGTGAATATATGGGTCTCTGGGTGAGTCTATGGATATCTGTGTGATTCTATGGGCCTCTGTGTAGGTCTATGTGTTTATGTGTGAATATATGGGTCTCTGTGTGAGTCTATGGGTCTCTGCTGTGTGAGTCTATGGGTCTCTGCTGTGTGAGTCTATGGGTCTCTGCTGTGTGAGGCTATGGGTCTCTATGTGAGTCGATGGGTCTCTGTGTGAGTCTATGGGTCTCTGTGCACGCTGTCCCGAACCGCGCCAACCAGAGGTGTGCGAACCAACTCCGAACCATCGCCGGGAACCCACCACCCATCCACCACTCACCCACCACTCATCCACTCACCCACCACTCATCCACCCACCCACCACTCATCCACCCACCCACCACTCATCCACCCACCCACCCACCAACCCACCCACCCACCCACCTGCATGTGACCGTGCAGCGAGCTGGCGCTGGAGAAGCCCCGCTTGCAGACGGCGCAGCGGTGGGGCTTGGCGGCGGCCGCGCTGTGCGTCTTCACGTGGATCTTGAGGTGGTCGGAGCGCGAGAACGCCGCGTCGCACTCGGGGCAGTGGTAGCGGCGGTCGCCCGTGTGCAACTTCGTGTGCCGGTCGCGGCTCCGCTTGTGCTTGAAGAGGCGGCAGCAGTAGGGGCAGCGGAAGGGCAGCTTGTCGCCGTGGCTCTGCTCGTGCCGCTTCAGGTAGCTGAGGCGGCCGAACGACTTGTCGCAGAACTGGCACGGGTAGGGCAGCCCGCCGCCGCCGTCGCCGCCGTCGCCGCCGCCGCCGGCGCCGGCGGTGCCGGCGGCGGCGGCGGCGGCGCCGGGGCCGGCGGCGCCGGAGGAGGCCGCGGCCCCGGCCGTGCCGCCGGCCTCGCAGGGGGCGAGGTCGCAACCGTCGGCCGGGTCGGAGGGTGAAGCCACGTCCTTGCTGGACGGGGAGGAGCCCACCCAGGAGAGGTGGGGGTCGTCATCGCCATCTATTGCAGGTGGCGTGGGGGGGGGAGGTGGGGTGGCGGGATTTTGAGTCTTCCCGTTGTTGCGTTAAGAGGTCGACGAGCCCGTACAAGATTGCCTGGTTCATCGAGGACGGGGGGACGACTGAGCGGGGAACGACCGGCGACTGGGAGAACGACCGCCGACTGGGGGAACGACCGACAGGGATACAACCGGCTGGGGAACGACTTAGTGAGGAACGACCGACTGGGAGAACGACCGCTGACTGGGGGAACGACCGGCGACTGGGAGAACGATCGACTGGGGAATGACTTAGTGAGGAACGACCGACTGGGAGAACGACCGCTGACTGGGGGAACGACCGACTGGGGAATGACTTAGTGAGGAACGACCGACTGGGAGAACGACCGCTGACTGGGGGAACGACCGGCGACTGGGGGAACGACCGACTCGGGAATGACTTAGTGAGGAACGACCGACTGGGAGAACGACCGCTGACTGGGGGAACGACCGGCGACTGGGAGAACGACCGCTGACTGGATGGCCACCACTCACACAGGATCAATGTCATGGAGCGGCAGGGTATCCCACGCTCGATATGCAGGAGTGCGTGGGTTCGATCCTGACCCCTTAAGATGCCTGCTGCTGCTGCTGTATATTTGGGGCCTGCGTCTCTCTCTCTCATCATCATCACGGTGGCTAGGAGATGTTAACTACCTCGCCTGGTACGCAGGAGGTCGTGGGTTCGATCCTGACCCCTATACGAAGCCTGCTGTTGCTGCTGCTGTATATTTGGGGTCTGCGTCTCTCTCTCTCTCTCTCTTCCTCCCGGTGGTGGTGGCGTGGATTATTATTTTTTTTTCTCCAGGGCCGTACGGTCATTCCCTGCACTCTTGGAATCGACGTCACGCGCGTAGATTCTTCGAGTGCTGTCATTTGCGACAGCGAGGTGGCTTCCGAAAACGAACTACGGTTGCTCAGTGGCGGGGCTTTAAAAAAGCCTAGCGCAGTGGTAACACTTGACTGTGTGGGGTTTGCATTGTTTCCCCCTGTCCTGCAGGGTGAGTGGAGTTTGTGTGATCTCCCCCTGTTCTACAGAGTGAGTGGAGTTTGTGTGATCTCCCCCTGTTCTACAGAGTGAGTGGAGTTTGTGTGATCTCCCCCTGTTCTACAGAGTGAGTGGAGTTTGTGTGATCTCCCCCTGTTCTACAGAGTGAGTGAGTGGAGTTTGTGTGATCTCCCCCTGTTCAACAGAGCGAGTGAGTGGAGTTTGTGTGATCTCCCGCTGTTCTACAGAGTGAGTGAGTGGAGTTTGTGTGATCTCCCCCTGTTCTACAGAGTGAGTAAGTGGAGTTTGTGTGATCTCCCCCTGCTCTACAGAGTGAGTGAGTGGAGTTTGTGTGATCTCCCCCTGTTCTACAGAGTGAGTGGAGTTTGTGTGATCTCCCCCTGTTCTACAGAGTGAGTGGAGTTTGTGTGATCTCCCCCTGTTCTACAGAGTGAGTGGAGTTTGTGTGATCTCCCCCTGTTCTACAGAGTGAGTGAGTGGAGTTTGTGTGATCTCCCCCTGTTCAACAGAGCGAGTGAGTGGAGTTTGTGTGATCTCCCCCTGTTCTACAGAGTGAGTGAGTGGGGTTTGTGTGATCTCCCACTGTTCTACAGAATGAGTGAGTGGAGTTTGTGTGATCTCCCCCTGTTCTACAGAGTGAGTAAGTGGAGTTTGTGTGATCTCTCCCTGTTCTACAGAGTGAGTGAGTGGAGTTTGTGTGATCTCCCCCAGTTCTACAGAGTGAGTGGAGTTTGTGTGATCTCCCCCTGTTCTACAGAGTGAGTGAGTGGGGTTTGTGTGATCTCCCACTGTTCTACAGAATGAGTGAGTGGAGTTTGTGTGATCTCCCCCTGTTCTACAGAGTGAGTAAGTGGAGTTTGTGTGATCTCCCCCTGTTCTACAGAGTGAGTGGAGTTTGTGTGATCTCCCCCTGTTCTACAGAGTGAGTGGAGTTTGTGTGATCAACCCCTGTTCTAGAGAGTGAGTGAGTGGAGTTTGAGTGATCTCCCCCTCTTCTACAGAGTGAGTAGAGTTTGTGTGATCTCCACCTGTTCTACAGAGTGAGTGGAGTTTGTGTGATATCCCCCGGTTCTACAGAGTGAGTGAGTGAGGTTTGTGTGATCTCCCCCTGTTCTACAGAGTGAGTGGAGTTTGTGTGATCTCCCCCTGTTCTACTGAGTGAGTGAGTGGGTGTGTTGTGTGTGAGAGTGAGTGGAGTTTGTGTGATCTCCCCCTGTTCTACAGATTGAGTGAGTGGAGTTTGTGTGATCTCCCCCTGTTCTGCAGAGTGAGTGAGTGAGTGGAGTTTGTGTGATCTCCCCCTGTTCTACAGAGTGAATGAGTAGAGTTTGTATGATATCCCCCTGTTCTACAGAGTGAGTGAGTGGAGTTTGTGTGATCTCCTTCTGTTCTACAGAGTGAGTGAGTGAAGTTTGTGTGATCCCCCCCTGTTCTACAGAGTGAGTGGAGTTTGTGTGATCTCCCCCTGTTCTACTGAGTGAGTGGAGTTTGTGTGATCTCCCCCTGTTCTACAGAGTGAGTGAGTGGAGTTTGTGTGATCTCCCCCTGTTCTACAGAGTGAGTGGAGTTTGTGTGATCTCCCCCTGTTCTACAGAGTGAGTGAGTGGAGTTTGTGTGATCTCCCCCTGTTCTACAGAGTGAGTGAGTGGAGTTTGTGTGATCTCCCCCTGTTCTACAGAGTGAGTGAGTGGAGTTTGTGTGATCTCCCCCTGTTCTACAGAGTGAGTGAGTGGAGTTTGTGTGATCTCCCCCTGTTCAACAGAGCGAGTGAGTGGAGTTTGTGTGATCTCCCCCTGTTCTACAGAGTGAGTGAGTGGAATTTGTGTGATCTCCCCCTGTTCTACAGAGTGAGTGAGTGAGGTTTGTGTGATCCCCCCCTGTTCTACAGAGTGAGTGGAGTTTGTGTGATCTCCCCCTGTTCTACTGAGTGAGTGGGTGTGTTGTGTGTGAGAGTGAGTGGAGTTTGTGTGATCTCCCCCTGTTCTACAGAGTGAGTGAGTGGAGATTGTGTGATCTCCCCATGTTCTACAGAGTGAGTGAGTGGAGTTTGTGTGATCTCCCACTGTTCTACAGAGTGAGTGATTGGAGTTTGTGTGATCTCCCCCTGTTCAACAGAGCGAGTGAGTGGAGTTTGTGTGATCTCCCCCTGTTCTACAGAGTGAGTGAGTGGAGTTTGTGTCATCTCCCCCTGTTCTACAGAGTGAGTGAGTGAGGTTTGTGTGATCCCCCCCTGTTCTACAGAGTGAGTGGAGTTTGTGTGATCTCCCCCTGTTCTACTGAGTGAGTGGGTGTGTTGTGTGTGAGAGTGAGTGGAGTTTGTGTGATCTCCCCCTGTTCTACAGAGTGAGTGAGTGGAGTTTGTGTGATCTCCCCCTGTTCTACAGAGTGAGTAAGTGGAGTTTGTGTGATCTCCCCCTGTTCTACAGAGTGAGTGGAGTTTGTGTGATCTCCCCCTGTTCTACAGAGTGAGTGGAGTTTGTGTGATCTCCCCCTGTTCTACAGAGTGAGTGGAGTTTGTGTGATCTCCCCCTGTTCTACAGAGTGAGTGAGTGGAGTTTGTGTGATCTCCCCCTGTTCAAAAGAGCGAGTGAGTGGAGTTTGTGTGATATCCCCCGGTTCTACAGAGTGAGTGAGTGAGGTTTGTGTGATCTCCCCCTGTTCTACAGAGTGAGTGGAGTTTGTGTGATCTCCCCCTGTTCTACTGAGTGAGTGAGTGGGTGTGTTGTGTGTGAGAGTGAGTGGAGTTTGTGTGATCTCCCCCTGTTCTACAGATTGAGTGAGTGGAGTTTGTGTGATCTCCCCCTGTTCTGCAGAGTGAGTGAGTGAGTGGAGTTTGTGTGATCTCCCCCTGTTCTACAGAGTGAATGAGTAGAGTTTGTATGATATCCCCCTGTTCTACAGAGTGAGTGAGTGGAGTTTGTGTGATCTCCTTCTGTTCTACAGAGTGAGTGAGTGAAGTTTGTGTGATCCCCCCCTGTTCTACAGAGTGAGTGGAGTTTGTGTGATCTCCCCCTGTTCTACTGAGTGAGTGGAGTTTGTGTGATCTCCCCCTGTTCTACAGAGTGAGTGAGTGGAGTTTGTGTGATCTCCCCCTGTTCTACAGAGTGAGTGGAGTTTGTGTGATCTCCCCCTGTTCTACAGAGTGAGTGAGTGGAGTTTGTGTGATCTCTCCCTGTTCTACAGAGTGAGTGAGTGGAGTTTGTGTGATCTCCCCCTGTTCTACAGAGTGAGTGAGTGGAGTTTGTGTGATCTCCCCCTGTTCTACAGAGTGAGTGAGTGGAGTTTGTGTGATCTCCCCCTGTTCAACAGAGCGAGTGAGTGGAGTTTGTGTGATCTCCCCCTGTTCTACAGAGTGAGTGAGTGGAATTTGTGTGATCTCCCCCTGTTCTACAGAGTGAGTGAGTGAGGTTTGTGTGATCCCCCCCTGTTCTACAGAGTGAGTGGAGTTTGTGTGATCTCCCCCTGTTCTACTGAGTGAGTGGGTGTGTTGTGTGTGAGAGTGAGTGGAGTTTGTGTGATCTCCCCCTGTTCTACAGAGTGAGTGAGTGGAGATTGTGTGATCTCCCCATGTTCTACAGAGTGAGTGAGTGGAGTTTGTGTGATCTCCCACTGTTCTACAGAGTGAGTGATTGGAGTTTGTGTGATCTCCCCCTGTTCAACAGAGCGAGTGAGTGGAGTTTGTGTGATCTCCCCCTGTTCTACAGAGTGAGTGAGTGGAGTTTGTGTCATCTCCCCCTGTTCTACAGAGTGAGTGAGTGAGGTTTGTGTGATCCCCCCCTGTTCTACAGAGTGAGTGGAGTTTGTGTGATCTCCCCCTGTTCTACTGAGTGAGTGGGTGTGTTGTGTGTGAGAGTGAGTGGAGTTTGTGTGATCTCCCCCTGTTCTACAGGTTGAGTGAGTGGAGTTTGTGTGATCTCCCCCTGTTCTGCAGAGTGAGTGAGTGAGTGGAGTTTG